AGTTGGAGCCCCCAGGAAAGCAGCATGAGTTGCTATGCTGTATTATGCTATGCTATGCTATGCCATGCTATGCTGCGCTATGCTATGCTATGGTATGCTATGCTATGCTATGCTGCGCTATGCTATGCTATGATATGCTATGCTACGCTACGCTATGCTATGTGATGCTGCGCTGTGCTATGCTATGCTATGCTATGCTCAGCTGCGCTATGCTATGCTATGCTATGCTATGCTCTGCTATGCTATGCTATGATGTGCTATGCTACGCTATGCTGCGCTGTGCTATGCTATGCTATGCTTGGCTATGCTATGCTATGCTATGCTATGCTAAGCTGCGCTATGCTATGCTCTGCTATGCTATGCTATGCTGCGCTGTGCTATGCTGTGCTGTGCTGTGCTGCGCCATGCTATGCTATGCTATGCTATGCTGCGCTATGCTATGCTATGCTGGGCTATGGTAAGATATGCTGTGCTGCGCTATGCTATGCTACGCTATGCTATGCTATGCTGTGCTCTGCTATGCTAAAGCTCAGCGAAGCTAAGATGAAGGTAAGCTAAGCTAAGATAAACCTGAGCTAAGATGAAGCTAAGCTAAGCTAAGATGAAATAAGCTAAGCTAAGCTGAGATAAGCAACGCTAAGCTAAGGGGACGTAACTGGGGGAACCGCGGGGCGGATACTGGGGGAACCGCCCGGGGCGGTGTGCACTGCCCGGCCCCTTTAAGAAAGAGTGTAAGAACCCTCTAGGCAGAGCCTAGGTAGGGAAATATCAGCATCATGATTATCATCAGCATTATCCTCAACATCATCGTCATAAGCATCATCATCGTCAGCATCACCATCATTATCACCACCATCATCATCAGCAGCAGCAACATCATCAGCATGATCGTCATCATGGTCATCCTCATCAACATCATCGTCGCGTTCATCACCATCATCAACAGCAACGTCATCATTATCGTCATCGTCGCCGCCGCCGCCATCCTCCTCCTACGCCTTTCCCTGCTCATCGTCATGATCATCAGCATTCACAACATCATCAGCAACATCAACAACAACAATGGCATCGTCATCGTCATCGTCGTCGCCGCCGCCGCCCTCCTCCTCCTCTACTCCTTCTCCTGTGCATCATCATCAGAATAATCATCATCATAACCACCATCACCACCACCACCACCACGGCTGGAGGAGGAGGAGGAGGAGGAGGATAGGGAGGAGCGAGGGGGGAGAAGGAACGTCGTGAGCTCGTCAAATACCGATGCCGCTTCTCGACTTCGGCCTCCCAGCAGTTGGATCTTAAGGTAACCGGGCTCTGTGGTCACGCGGGGGAGCAGGTCTCGCTCCATTCGGGCCGGAGTTCCCCCGCCTTGCATGCAGAAGCCTACACCCCAGTCCGCATGAGGATGTTCCACACCCTGCGGCACCGTGGGGAAATGATCCGCGTGCGGCCGCCTCTGTCGAAGCCAGGATGTTCCACACCCGTTTGGCTACACTTCGCGCACGCAAGGGTGACGCACAGAGCATGGCTTCGACAATCAATGAAGATCGCCTCTTCCACACTTCTGCGCGCGTGCGGCCGGGATCACCGAAATACGCCAAGCCAGGATCCGCCAGACCTCCTGGGGCCACTAGGCTGCGAAGGGGATCCACCTGATATGGCCATCGGTCAGGGGGCGGCGGTTACCCTAAAAGCTAGCAGTGCGTCCGGAGGCGTACTTCGGTGGTGCAGCAGTCTTACACAAGGGCGCCTGGACCTCTCGAGGAGTGTGACTGTCAAAAAGGCCTCTGGGGGGGCCTACGACTCCCTCAGACGGCCCAAGGTAGCCTCGACGAGGCGTTCGACGGGCCAAGGTAATTGAGAATAACCTTGCTGTCCGTTAGCGGACCTTGACGTTCTGTAGAGCGCCTTGCCGTCCTCATCTCCTCCTCCTCCTCCTCCCTTCTCCTCCTCCTCCTCCGTAGCCATTTCGGCTCAAGTCCAGAGTCCGGAGCAAGGAGGCTCAAAGGCTTGGACTGTGGCAAGGGGGAGGTGCGCCCCCCGCCTGCGATCCCTGAGTCTTGCGTTCAGGACACTTTTCTTGTGAGCCCCTGGAGGAGCAACTCCGCTGCACCTCTCATGCATCACGGCACAACGGCCTCTCTGTCAGCGAGCTACTGTAGGAACCCATGGGTAAAGCAACTGCCAAGCATTACATCTCGTGCACGGCTTGTCGGTACAGGTGGAGCTGGAAGTCGCGTGCCTTCTGCTCCCAATGCAATGGCACCCTTGCCCCGCTCGAGGTGCCGCGGCGGGACCAAGCCCAAGATGTCTGGGCGGGCTCGGGCACCCCTCCCAGCGGAAGACCGTCAAGACCACGGGGCGGAAGGCTGCCCCTCCCACCTCTCCAGGGAAGCCCCGTCTGAGCGAGGAGGGTATCGGAAACCCATACTATTTACATGGTTTCGTGCCCCTCCCACCCCTCCAGGGAGGCCCCGTCTGAGCGAGGAGGGTATCGGACACCCGTACTATTTACATTGTTTCGTGCCCCTTCCACCCCTCCAGGGAGGCCCCGCCTGAGCGAGGAGGGTATCGGAAACCCATACTATTTACATGGTTTCGTGCCCCCCCCCACCCCTCCAGGGAGGCCCCGCCTGAGCGAGGAGGGTATCGGAAACCCATATTATTTACATAGTTCGTGCCCCTTCCATCCCTCCAGGGAGGCCCGCCTGAGCGAGGAGGGTATCGGAAACCCACCATATTTACATGGTTTCGTGCCCCTCCCACCTCTCCAGGGAGGCCCCGCCTGAGCGAGGAGGGTATCGGAAACCCATACTATTTACATGGTTTCGTGCCCCCCCCCCACCCCTCCAGGGAGGCCCCGTCTGAGCGAGGAGGGTATCGGAAACCAATGCAATTTACATGGTTTCGTGCCCCTCCCACCCCTCCAGGGAGGCCCCGTCTGAGCGAGGAGGGTATCGGAAACTCACACTATCTAAATGGTTTCGTGCCCCTCCCACTGACATGGGTGAGGAGGAGGGGAGAACATTACCTATCCATCTCACGTCCTACTCCTCCCACTGAGGAGGGTGAGGAGGAGGGGGAGTTCTGCGATGAGGAAGGCTTCATCATGGTGATGGTGATGACGATGGTTATGCTGCTGTTCACGATGACGATGACGATGGCGATAATGGTGATGAGCGATGACGATGGCGATAACGGCGATTATGATGCTGATGCCGATGATGATGACGATGATGATGATGATGATGCTGATGACGATGATGGCAACGACGACGACAACGGCGACGAGGGTGATGATGCAGATGCTGGTGATGATGACGATGCTGCTGCTGATGCTGACGTTGCTGGTGCTGTTGATGAGGATGACGACGATGATGCTGATGCTGATGACGTCCACGATGATGAGGACGATGATGATGTCAAGGACGGTGATGGTGATGATGATGACGATGATTATGATGATAATGATGATGATGATGTTGATGATGACGATGATGGCGACGACGATGCTGATGATGATGATGATGACGATGACGCTGACGATGGTGATGATGCTGGTGATGATGATGATGGTTATGATGATGTCGATGATGCTGACGATGATGATGATGATGATGACGATGATGATGATGATGATGATGATACTGATGCTGATGACGATGATACTGCTGCTGTTCTTCACCATCATCCATCCTATCCTCTTCCTCCTCCTCCTCCTCCCCCTCCAGGAGGATATCGGAAACAATGCAGTTTACACGGTTTCGTGTCCCCCCTCCACTCCTCCAGAGAGGCCGCGCTTGAACGAGGAGGGTCGCGGAAAGCATTACTCTTTACCAGGTTTCGTAGCCCTCCCCCCTTCCAGCGGGGCCCCGCCAGAGCGAGGAGGGTATCAAGAAACCGTACTATTCACAAGGCTTCGTTTCCTGAGCACCTGTCCTCCCTCCTCCTTTCTTTCGTCTGCCCTTTCGTGCGTACTTACTCGTTCGATGAACTTCTCCTTCGTGTTGATGTTGTCGTACCCCATGGGTCCCACGAAACCGTTAATATCGTTATGTGGGAAACTCCGTTAGCATAATTTATTCCTCCCCCGGGATTTCCATAGGTTCCGAACTCTATTGATGGCGGACGCTTCGCAAATACCACTCAGAGGCGCCCCCAGGAGACATCCTGGGGGGCGCCAGCATGCATATGATAACGAACCCTGGCCCACAACGCAGCACGGTGGCGGGACGGGCCGACGACCATTGAAGACTCCGCAGGCGGCCCCTGGGAGGGCGGCACCGCGAACACAGGCGTCGCCCCGCAAAGCCGGCTCTGTCCCCGAGGCGGGGCAGCCGCCGCAGAGCAAGCGAGCCCGCTCGGGGCAGTCTTGCACATCGGGCTCGCCCCGTGCGAGAAGAGCCCCACGGGCTCGCCCCATGTGCCGCTCCGCTTCGAAGGCCATTGCTCCCCTCCCAGCCCTAGATCGTGGTGGCCCACAGCCAAAATAGGTAGCATCCAGAGGATGATCATGTGACACATCTGGGGCAGCGTCACAGGAAGCGTCTTGAAGCAAGCTTCGCTGAGTGTGTCTTGGTGGTGTGTGGCTGTAGCCGAGGAGCCGCCGCAGAGCTAGAGCTCGGCAAGGGGAAGGGGGGGAGGGGGGGGGACGACGGGAGGGAGGCGACGGCGACGAGGAGGCAGCGAGAAAGAGGCAGAGAGAGAGAGAGAGCGCGATCCTCCTGTTGGTGCCCTGGTGCCCTGGCCCTCGCCATTAGAAGGAGCGGGGTGCCACGTCAGCACGGGGCACAAAAGGATCCAGCGTCCATGAGACGAGGCCAGGCGCACCTTTTGACCTCAGGTCGTCTACGAGAGTCAGTGGATGCGTGACTGGCTATGGTGAGAAGACTATCGACTCGAAGGAAGAAGATGGATTTCACCATTTGGAGAGTGGAGTATAGGCAGGACCAGTCCCACCCCCATCCCCCCCCACCCGAGATCAATCCACCACCCCCTCCCTCCGGCATGAGCTGCGTACAGAGCTCAACTTAAATGTAGAAAGAGGTGTATTGTGGCGCCCTCAGATGTCGCACCGATAGTATGGCCGTTATGCTGATGTATCAGATGCTGCTCACCGCGGGCCACTGAACATAACCCACGAGAAGGTACGGGAATTGTAGGGAGGCAAAGAAGATTATGTGGAGCAACCCGCAGAACGCAGTGCAACCCAATACCGCGCGGAACGCCGGACACCTCATCGCGGACTTCGGCCGAAAAATGTCGAGGGAGTAGAAGACGACGCGGGTAAACAGGGGCACCCACACGAATGCTCCGCTGACCCCCCGCTGGAGGCAGATCAGGGCGGAGAACGCGCCGCCAGACCTCCAAAGCCAGATGGCTTCGCCGATGGAGCAGAAGAAACACGGCATGCCCCCCATGGCGCAGCACCTATACGGCAGGAACGAACGGGCGTGGACGAGATCGTGCATGGCGTCGCGGACTTAGCTCTCGAAGGTCTCGATGCATCCGAAACAAGCGACTACGGACGCCTCGATCAAGACTTTGTCGCAGCCCATCCTCTCGCTGGTCTTTGGGTTGACGTGCGCGACCGTGAAGCAGAAGCAGTTCGACCCTCTCAGAGAGAATCGCTGTAACTGGATGTGTTGTTCCTTCAGCAAATTCACGTATCGGAGGCCACTGCACGCCAGACAGAGGACAGACAAGGTCAGGGAGACGGTGTTGGCCGCGACGCTGATTCCCACACCTTTCAATGATACGTCCGCGAGCCTCTGCTCGGAAAAACTCGCTGACGTGTTCTTGCAGAGCAGCATCACCGAGATGGCAATGACGTTCCCACCGTCAGCACGCCGATGGGCACCGGCAACATCTCCATCCTCTTGGAGGCATCGCCATTGCGTTGCAATTTCAAGTAGGCTGCGCACTCGAATACGCACGAGAGCCGAGTCCAGTATGTCTCGTCCCAAAGCAAGATCATGCGATCCGAACACTTCAGGGTGTGGCCGAGGCTCAGGATGCCTCCTCTCTTGGCTTCCTCGCCGTCTTGAGGAATGCACGAAGTCCAGGAACACGCGCCTGGGAATCACGGAGGACAGCACCAGGACGAAGGCCACGCAGGTCGCCAGGAGCATAACGAGGATGCCTGCAAAGTTGTGGTTTGGCACCCAGTCCAGCGGCATCAGGCAAGCGCCGACGACGGCCGCGAGAATTCCCATCACGGCGGACGGGAGTCCGTTGTAGTGCAGCAGGAGCATCAGCGTGTGGGCTGTGTCGTTGCCGTGCCTGCTGTACGACCAGAAGTCGTCAATCTTGTTCGCGCCTGTGGCGTACTCGGCCGCGGTATGCTGTTTCCTGAAGATGCGGCCACAATACCAGAGCACTGACAGTAAATCGATGGCGACGACCGGCGACGAGTCGCTGCTTACAACAGGATCCATGGTGAACGAAAGCTTCGACAACCTTCGTCATCCCCAGGCACCGGCGCATCTCCGCTCTGCAGGTCGGGCGCCTCCGTCGGGCAGAGCGCCTCTTCCGAGGGATCCTTCGGCTTCGTGGGGTCTGCGCCGCCATCTGCGGGCCGCGGGGATCGAATCCATCGCGCCCCCCCCTGCTGCCGGCGGACCCGACGGCTCGAGCACAAATGGAGCCCTTGAGCCAAAAAGGCTCGAGCCAGCATGGCTTGAGCCAAAATGGCTACGGATGGGGGTCTCTTGGGAGCTCTTGAGGGCATTTTGGTGCGGAAGAAGCGGACTGTCCGTTTGGACTGCCCCTCTTGAAGCCGTCTTGGGCCTCTCCTCGGCCTTCTTGGGCGCCTCCTGAGCCGTCTTGAAGCCCTCTTGGGCCGCCTGTGGCTTCTCTTGCGGGATCTCGTGGGCCGTTTGACGGCTGCCTCGGGGGCATCTTCGGCCGCCTCGGAGCGTCGGAAAGGAGACACATCGTACACGTTGGAACTGCACCTTTTTCCCATCAGAATTTGACGATGTTCCGCTCCTGTAGCCTTCCCTTGGGCCGTCTAGCGTGCGAGGCGCGTCTTGCTGAGCTCTTTGGGGCATCTCGGCGGCCTCTTGGGGAGCCTCTGGGGAGTTCTTGAGGGCATCTTGGGGCGGAAGGTTGGAATTGTTCGTTTGGCCTCTCCTTCTTGGAGCCGTCTCTTGGGGCTCTCCTGGATCGTTTTGGACGCCTCCTGGTCCGTCTTGGAGACCTCTTGGGCCACCCGTCGGCTCTTTGCCAGGTCTTTTGAGCCGTGTGGGGGCAGTTTTGCAGGCATCTCGGACCTGCCTTGGAGCGTCGGAAGCAGAACAATTACATATACTGAACATGTGCGATTTCCTATGGGAATTTAACAATTTCCCCTCCCCGAACCCTCCCCAAGCAGCCGTCTAGCGTGCGAGGCGCGGCTTGGGAGGCTCTTTGGGGCCTCTCGGGGGCCTCTTGGGAGCCTCTCGGGAGCTCACGAGGGCATCTTGGGGCGGAAGGCTCGAATTGTTCGTCTGCTCTGCCACTCTTTTTGGCCGTCGTGGCGCTCTCCTTGATCGTCTCGGGCGCCTCGTGGCCTGTCTTGGAGACTTCTTTGGCCGCTCGTGGGCTCTCTTGCAGGGTCTTTTTCATTATTAACATCATCTCCCCATCATCATCTTCATCATCCTCATGATCATCATCGGGATCATCATCATCACCACCATCATTACCGGCACCATGACCATCACCATCATCATAACGCATCATCATCGTCACCAACACCATCACCACCAACACCATCGTCGTTGCCGTCGCCGCCGCCGTTGTCGTCGTCGTCGTCTTCGTCTTCGTCGTCGCCGCAGCCGTCGCCGCCGCCGCCGCCGCCGCCGTCGTGGACGTCATTGTCGTTGTCGTCGTCGCCGTCGCCGTCGTCGTCCGCGCCGTCGTCGTCGTCCAAGGAGCCCGAAAACGGCGAAAAAAACCTTGAGAGATCCACTGTCGACGGACAGGCGCCGAGCAACCTCTGAAACGTCCACCAGAAGGCCGTGTGGGCTCCCTTGGGGGGGGGGGGCTTCGAAGGCATCTCAGAGGCCTCTCAAGGGCGCCTTCGAGGCAGTCTGGGAGCCTCTCGGGATCCTGCCCGGGGGCCTCCTGGGGGCCTCCTGGGAGCCTCCTGGGGGTCTCTCGGGCGCCTCTTGGGGCCTCTTGGGGGCCTCCTTGGGGCCTCCTTGGGACCTCTTGGGGCCTCCTGGGAGCCTCTGGGGCCGAAAGCTCGGAATTTGAATATGGTGTTCCACCTCTGGGATCGTTCTGGGGCTCGTCCTGGGGCTCTCTCGGGCGGTCTTGGGGGCCTCCCGGGCCGTTTTGGGACCCCCTCAGGTCGTCTTGGAACCCTCTTGGGAGCATGTGGGGCAGTCTTGGGGGCCTCCTGGGCCGTCTTGGACGCTGTGACAGCGCCAAAGAAGTACATATATATATATATATATACACACACATACATACATACATACATACATACATACATACATACATACATACATACATACATACATACATGCATACATACACCCATATATATATATATATATATATATATATATATGTATATGACAAGAATATACGTTTCCCTGAGGTGAGGGAAGGGAACGAAATTTGCCTCTTGGGGCCCTCCTGGGGGGCCTCTGGGAGCTTCGTGGGGCGTCTGGGAGGCTCTTGGGGTGTCTTGGGGGCCATCCTGTGCGTCTCGGAGCAGCCTGTGCGTCTTGGAGCGGCCTGTGGGCGTCGCGGGTGCCTCTTGGAGCGTCTTCGGACTCTCTTGGCGCTTTCAGGTGGCGTGTTGTGGGCCGCTGGCCCCGCAAGGGCCTGCACACACACACACACACACAAACACATAAACACATAAACACATAAACACACACACACCACCCACGCACGCACGCACGCACGCACGCCCGCACGCCCGCACGCCCGCACGCCCGCGCGCCCGCGCGTCCGCGCGAACGCACGCACGCACGCACCCACGCACGCACCCACGCACGCACGCACCCACGCACCCACGCACCCACGCACCCACGCACCCACGCACCCACGCACCCACACACACACACACACAAACACACCAACGACACACACACACACACACACACTTGTGGTAGAGGTCGCGGCCTAGGGGGCCCGGGCCTCGGTGCGCCGTTATCTGTATATTCACAGATACATACATACATACATACATACATACAAACATACATACATACATACATACATATGTATATACATACATACATCCATACATACATACATACATCCATCCATGCATGCATACATGCATGCATGCATGCATGCATACATACATGCATACATGCATGCATGCATGCATATATACATACATACATACATACATACATACATACATACATACATACATACATACATGCATGCATGCATACATACATACATACATACATACATACATGCATACATACATACATACACACATACACACATACATACATAAATACATACATACATACATACATACATACATACATACATACATACATACATACATACATACATACATACATACATACATACATACATACATACATACATACATACATACATACATACATACATACATACATGCATGCATGCATGCATGCATGCATGCATGCATGCATGCATGCATACATACATACATACATACATACATACATACATAATTCGCAGGCCCAACGGGCCAGAGGCGTGCTAAGATCTCCGGTAACTTGTTAACAATATTTCTAGTTCGCGCGCGCGGAGCGGCCCCTGGGGGCCCCCGGACGAAAAGTACCCCGGCAAGGTCCCGAGAGAAGCCCGGGAGAAGCCACCAGACCACTCCAGGGGAGGGTATTTTTCGACACCCCTCACGAGGATCGTGGCCTCCGAGGGGGGAGCCGCAATCGACTACCCCCAAGAGCCCCCCAAGAGGCCCTGGGGGCCTCCAAAACGCCGCCAAGGAGCCCCAAGAGACTCCCAAGAGGTCCCCAAGAGGCCCCCAAGAGGCCCTAAAGAGGGCTCCAGGGCCGGCGGCATGAGCGAAGCGATTAAATATATAGAACCCCGCGCGCGCTACGTGCACTAGGGTTGAGTCACTTTCGGGGACCTCATATCATCGCCCTCCTCATGAATCATATCCGCATACACTCTCATGGCAGGTAGCACTTCCGACGTCGACGTCGTCGTCGGTGTCCGCGCCGCCGCCGTCGTCGTGGTCGCGGGTTGGGGAAGGGGAAGGGGGGGAGAGAAGGAGAGGGGAGGGATGGAGGCGGTAGGGAAGAACGGACGCAGATCCACAGGAGAGGCAAAAAAGGAGAGGACGGGGAATGGAGAGAGAGAAGGATCAACGGATGAATGCGGATTTCTCCTCCTTCCTTTTCTTCCGTTCCTTCATGTTGTTTCTCATCATCATCATCATCATCATCATCATCATCATCATCATCATCCGCATCCTCCTCCTCCTCCTAGTTCTCCTCCTCCAACTCCTCCTCCTAGTTCTCCTCCTCCAACTCATTCTGCTCCTCCTCCTCCTCCTCCCAATCCTCCTCCTCCTCCTCCTCCTCTTCGCACTCCTCCTCCTCTTCTTCATCATCACCAGCATCATCATCACCAGCAGCATCAGCAGCATCATCACCATCAACATCATCAACATCAGCATCATCCTCTTCATCATTAGCAACATCATCACCATCATCATCATCCTCATCATCATCATCATCATCATCATCATCATCATCATCATCATCATCATCATCATCATAATCATCATCATCATCATCATCATCATCATCATCATCATCATCATCATCATCATCATCATCATCATCATATGTATCCTCACCTGCGCGCTCTGCCTCCGCGTTCCTCCGCCCGTCCTCGCCCTCCTCGTCCCCTTTCGACTGGCGGCGACAACCATGTTCTCGGCGAGCTTTCCGGGAACAGGATTGTCGCCGCCAGTCGTCCCAAGTGAAGCTGCAATACCTGCAGGACGGCCCAATGGAATGATTTGAAAAACCATGGAAAAAGAGGGTTGGGGAGGTGGAGCTTGGAAATGGCATGGAGGAGGTGTGAGGTAACAAAGCAAAAACAGTTCGAGCTGGCAAGGCCAAGTGACGGAGGGTGAGAAAGATCGCGGGGGGCTTACGACACAAACCGCCAGAATGGGTTTCGGCCCAGTCCCGCCGCAAAGCCCGGATCGCGGGTCGAAAACCTATCAGATGTCCGGTGGGATATTGACGGAAGCCGTGCAGGGGCCTCTTGGGGGCTGTCTCTGTCTTTGGCTATGATGGGCCGTCTGGGGCGTCCGTGGGGCCACCTTGGGGCCCGCGTGGGCCGGGATCCCTATGGGCATCGTCTGGTTCACCTTCATTTTGTACCTCATGATTTGCCATTGTTTGCCGTTTGCCTGTCCTCCTCCTCCTCCTCCTCCTCCTCCTCCTCCTCCTCCTCCTACTCCTGTTCCTCCTCCTCCTCTTCGATATCCTCGTCGGGCTTGTGGCGACCATCGCGTTCCCAGCAGGCCGTCCGGGAACATGATGGCGCGGGCCGCTCTGGGGGCCTCGGTTCCAGGGTTGCCCAAATGAGTCCGCAAAGCCCGAAGGACGGCCCGGTGGGAACATTGGCACAGGTTGGCATAGCGGTTATGCTTGGCAGGGCGATGGGGGAGGTGCCTGGTAACGAAACAAGAACGGTAGGAGCTGGAAGGCCACGGCAAGAAATGTGAGGCGTAGCCGAGGGCGGTGTACCGTCTACGGCGAGTCCACTTGCAGCGGGGCCGCGGGCCCGACCTCGGTTCCTCAGTGAGCGGGGATGGGGTTCGTGGGCCGACACGGATTGCTTCGGGTGGCCTCTCTGGGCCTCGAACCGAAATTTCACAACGCCCGATCCACATCCTCGGAAGCGCCCTGGTGAGCTGCGTCAGCAACATCGTCTGCGCTACCAGGGCAGCTGTGAAAGCTACGAGTATGTCAAATCAGAGCTTGGGGTGTTGGCCGCACTTCGCTTCTGACCGATGGTCCGCGCTCTGGTACCGTAGGGCGGCGGACCCGCTGCTTCTGCTCGGCACGCCTTCTCGTGTGGATGCTTCGCTCCGAAGCAGCGGTCCACGAGCGTCGAAGCGCAAGAAGCTCTGCCACCCACCTCGCTGCCAGGAGTGCCTGGCGTGATAGGCCGATCCCTGCCTCTCCAGAGCTCTCCAGTGTTGGGTGCACGCAGGAGTGGCCCTGGGCAAGAGCGGCCTTTGATGCGCGGCTTGATAAAAAGGGGGCGCCCGGTGGGTGGGGAGCAAGCCCGAGCGCACAAGCCGCTGCTATCGCATCGCACTCAGCGATCGGGGGGCCAGGGGGCCACAGTAGCGACCCGCACCAAAGGTCATTCGTGCGAAGGGCCAGTCGGACCCGGGCCAGAAAAACACCCTTCAAGAACATGAGACCCTCCGTCGGCCAGAACACACGGAACATCCAGGGGTGCCCTCCCCAGGGCCCAGGGCGCACAGGAACACCCAACGAGCCCGAAGAGCACCAGGGCACCCTCCCCAGGCCGACCTCGAGCTTATACCTCGGTCCGACTGTAGCTGGCACTGGTGCACTCGCCTGCTCTGCCGGGACCCATCTCTCACTCCCACGGTGGCCTTGGACGCCTCCGGCACGCTCCGCCTGAGCATGTTCTTAGGGCGGAGGGCTCGGAGTGACATCCTTATGGGCTTTCGCACCTCGAAACGCAAGCCGTCTTGTGATTCACCGTTTGCAGATTCAAGCCTCGAAAATCAATCGACACGGCACTTTCAGACTTCACGCTTTGCCCTTCACCCATAGAAACTGGTCGGTCCACGAGGGTCCCCGAAACCTAAAGACGGCCTCCCAGTCGGGCCACGCTGCGGCAAAGCACGAGTTCGAGAAGGCCAGAAGGCCAGAGCTGGATCTGAGACGAGCTCAAAGCACGGTTGGCGATCTCAACACGGACTAAGATGGCCTCAGAAACCCTCCAAGATTGCCCAAGATGAGCCAGTGCGTCCAATGTCTTCCAAGTCTGCCCCAGAGTACCTTTGGGAGACCCCCGAGAAGCCCAAATCGTGGAAGAAATAATTGTCGTAACATAATTTGGGTATTGGCTTCTCGGACGCAAGTGTCCTCCAAGGCGGCCCCAGGCACCTCCAGCAGGACACTCGGAAGCGCCCCCCCCCCGAGGTGCGAGGACGGCCTGGGACCGCCCCAGAGCGTTCGTCAGACGCCCTCCGACCCACCAAGCTAGACCTCT